GAAGCAAAAGAACTGAGAAGTTGCCAGCTATAACAGTGACGAAAAGAAATGCAGTGATGAAACAGTAGATGATCAAAGTAAGAAATTAGGAAAACAGAAGCAGGGATTTCTGTTTTCTCTCAAAAATTCGAAACTTACTCAGATTGGTTTTTAGTGCATAGAGAGGTGCAATATTAATTTTGAGATCCGTTTTTGCGCATGATGCATTCTCACTGAAATGTTCCATTGTTGCCTGAGCATCCATGAATGAACTACCGCACGACTGGCATTCATACGGCATTGCATTGTGTACATTCTTCAGATGGTTCATCAACACTAGCACCGAATCCTGCAAATCGACATGTTCTTAGCTCTACAATCTCAATCCTCGATTCTTAATCATTTCCCCTCTCTCCGTCATTTCGGTCTTTTACCGTAACAATCCCCGGCCCTAATTCGGACCACTAAGATTTCAGTGCATGTTCACGGCTGAGTCCCGCCAGTCTTCAGTAGTTTCCGATCCGGATCGTTTAATATTGCACTATTATGAGGTGGGCACATAGCGGATTGGCCAAATTTACACTGTTCACTAGCATCAATTTCACAGAGTTAAAAATCAGTTCTCTAGATAAAAAAGGTCCAGAGCTTTAAGTTTGTGAAAACCGCTTCATTCGACTTTGCAACGGTGCACAGTCGCTCTCGCTTGAAAACTACGCAAAAATTTGGCCGAAAAAGCGGGCTACCTGGGTAGGGAATAAGATGGGGGAGTGAAGAAGCTGGCCAAAGCAAAAGTTGGCCAAAGAAGCACGACCTGTGTGTATGGAATAAAAAATTATAAGAACGAAAATGTTGCTAGTTGGATCTGAAGCAGGGATGATTTTTAAGAATCCACGAAAAAAATACTCGCAATTTAAACGGTAAATATTTACGAAATGTGGACATACTTGCTCGAACAGGCACAGCACACATCGATACATAACGGGTAGTCGCAGCGGCTTCGGTTTTTTACATTCCAAAGGTGTTTTTTCAGCAATCTGCTTAGTCCTTGATACTTCCTAGAAAACTTCGTCACTAGTTCCATTGTTTCTGAATCCAGTAAAGCAAGCCATACGAAATGACTACCGAGGGACAGCATGCTTTCGTGACAAATATGGCGGGCTCTGATTAAACTGAATATATTCAAGATTCAGTAAGTGAGGCCTGGTATAGCCACACATGACTTTGACTGCTTATCTACTTAGTTCCAGGCTTCCGCTCCAAAAATCCAGAAGATCTCGGTAGTTTCGGTGAAGAAACGAATCATGCGCTCCGTCAGCCGCATTGGAAACATGTGTACATGCCCAAATGTCGCGAGTGGAACCTTTTTTTCAAAAGCTTATGGACCGGAAAAGAATCGAAACTTTCATCTCTCAGGTCAAATCTCTTAAATCCTTCGAATCATGGTCTATTATCCATTCTACTTTTTCTTCCTCATTTCCCCTTTTCTCCCCTATATGGGTGGATTTTGTACACATACTTTAATGCAAGTTTGTCTCCTTTCGTTCAATTCAGTTCTATTGGTGGCCAAATCCAGCGCAACATTCGGCGTACTATCGAATTTGCTTCGGCTGTACTTTGAAACCACTCGGATACCATGTGTTTCTGCAAAATATTCACTTGAATTAGACGATTTGAAAATTTTTAGGATTGCTGTTCACCTTCTTTCAAGGCGCTTGTTAAATTTCTGGACTTAATCATGCCCTACGATTTGGAATATACGGAAGTAATGAAGATGCCGAGTTCGATTCCTTTCCGGTTCATATCTTTGAAAAACGGGTTCCGTTTGCGACATGGATAGAGCGACATGATCGATCTGTTTAGCATTTCAGTAATGCTCAGAAAAACACTATTATTCGGACATGGTGTTAAAAACGCTATTATTCGAGCACCAAAATTTCGAGATTTACTAATTTCTGCTTTTTTAAAGAGTCAGCTAATATTTCGATGATAATACTTTGAATAGAATGCTTCTGGAATGAGAAGTTTGAGATATTTGATCATGGTACTGCATGTAACCATTAACAGGAACCCCACATTTCCTTGATCCGCTAAAAGCTTTAAACAAGTGCAGTTGGACAATGCTTAAAATTTGTCTTTATACATGTTTTTTCTACTGTGATATTTATCCGGATATATCCAGAAACCAAAAGCATTGCTGGGCTGGAAAGTGCAAACTGACTGGCAACATGTCTGATCAAATCGGCTTTCCACTTGCTCGTCCTTGAGCAGTATTTGCATCGAAACGGACGCTCGTTGGTGTGAACACGCTTATGTCGGATCATCTCCGAGACCCATTTCCCCTGATAGCCACAAACTGAGCATGTGCGGGATGAAACATCCGGATCCGCTTCGATACGCTGCAAAACAAATTAAAATTATTTAAAAATGTGTAAATTTCGAACTACAACTTTTTCTTCGAAATTTTTTTTGTACTAAACTGGTATAGATTTCGTTTCAATTTCCATGTACATGTGCGGTAAATTTAGGCGCCCAATTTTTGCCGCTTTTTTGTAAAAATGTATTGACGCCTCAAGTCCATGGCAAAACACATATAGCAGAAAGCCATATTGTTATTTTTTTTGAGCTCTTAGATGTTCATAATTCATTCGCTGGATCTGTACACGCAGACACATACATACATACACACATACATATATAAATTTTTTGTATGTGAAACATTCATGTAAAAAACTTACTCATTTTTCAGTATTTAAAAATATGTAAAACACGCACACATTCAAACTTATATAAATACACATACATACAGATAAGTGCACACACATATGTATACACACGCACACTTACATGCATACACCCACAGATGCACGCAGTTATATCGACATGTGTGCTTGCCAACAAAAATTTATACAAACAAACAAACATACAAAAACACGTGCATACAAATATGCTCTGCATAAATAATTTCTGCAAAAATGTCTAAAAAGGTGATTTTTTTAAAAATGGCTAAAAAATATGGAATTTTT